CAACAGGTCACAAGCCTTGTCATGAGCCATAAACGCTACCAAACACTGTCAGCAAGGGAAAAAGTAGCCCTGAGCCAGCTTAGAAAGGATGACACCATTGTCATCCTTCCAGCTGATAAGGGGAGAGCAACGGTTGTCTTAGATAAAGAGGTGTATGTAAGTAAAGCTTTGGAATTACTTCAAGACAGTGCTGCCTATAGAATAACTAATAGAGATCCCTCCACCACGCTAAAGAATTATACTAACAAACTCCTTGATACCCTAAAACGCAATGGGAGAATGGGGGAGGACGTATTGAGGAAGGTACGCCCTGGCGATTCAGCGCTTGCCAGATTCTATGGCCTACCAAAGGTGCATAAACCTGGCGTCCCCCTACGCCCCATTGTTCCGTTTAGAGGCACACCTACCTATGAACTAGCCAAGTGGCTGAGCACACGCATCGGCCACTTGACAGATAATAGCAACACCACTGTGAGATCGGCAGAGGAGTTCCTTGATAAAATTAAGGCCCTGAAGGTGGAAAAAGATGAAGTCCTGGTCTCCTTTGATGTAGTCTCCCTGTTTACTTCCATCCCGCAGGAACTTGCCATTGCGGTCTTAAGGGACCGACTGAATCAGGGAGACCAGGGATTACATCAGGACTCCCTTCGAATGGAAGATCTCATAAAATTAATGGGAGTCTGCCTTAACACTTATTTCACCTTTCAGGGCACGATATACGAACAGATTAAGGGAACTCCTATGGGGTCGCCGATCTCCAGTGTGATTGCGGAGGTGGTGCTCCAGCGATTGGAACACATAGCGTTGGCCCAATACCAACCAAAATTTTGGGCCCGCTATGTGGACGATACGTTTGTGATCATCAAGGAACGGCACAAGACTGACTTTATGAACGTCCTGAATTCGGTATACCCAGACATCCAGTTCACCATGGAAGAGGAACATCAGGGCAGTTTAGCGTTTTTAGATGTGTTAGTGCAGCGCCAGGTGGACGGATGTCTGACTACTAAGGTATACCGAAAACCCACATGTACAGACAGGATTTTACACTTCGAGAGCAATCACCCTATGGCTCATAAAGTCAGCTGTGTCAGAACTCTATTTAAGCGAGTGGAGTCGCATTGCAGCACTACCAGAGCTAAGAGAGAGGAGAGAAATTATCTCTTCCGGGTGTGCAAACATAATGGGTACCCGGCCAAGTTTATTAATCGGTTCAATAAACCATCTGGACCCCGGAGTGACCCCACACCCCAAAGACCTACACCTCAGGCAACCACACGTGTTACTCTCCCCTACATTCACAACGTCTCAGAGGCCACTGCAAGGATTTTGGCACCGCACAAGATACAAGTGGCCCATAGACCCAACCAAACACTGCGGGCAGCTATAATGCGCCCCAAGGACCCACTCCCCAGCATTGAGAGATCGACAGCCGTCTATAAGATCAACTGCATGGACTGCCGGTCTAACTATGTTGGGGAGACAGCTAAACGGATTAAAACTAGGGTCCATGAGCATAGGTTAGCAGTGAAAAGGGGAGACCAACACTCCCAGATATGGGCACACATGGCGGAATTAGACCATAAATTCAATTTCAGTGAGGTTAGCATACTGACTAGTGACAACACCAAGGGGGGCCGCCTACTTAAGGAGGCATGGCTCTCGGATGACAATTCTATTAATCGGCATGTGGACCTGTGCCCGGCATATATGGCTTTAAGGTTGTGGAGCACAAATAATCAAAGACAGTACCCCCGACGTCCCAATAACAACTTTAATGGCACTAAGGAGGAGGAATCAATCCCCCAACTGGTCCAAAGTAATCCGAAGGAGGAAACACAACCGGAAAACATTTCTACTATGTCGGCAACACCACCACAACCCCAAAGGACTAAAGGGATTATGGGAATCAAAACCCGGAATCCAGATACCACAGATAACCGAGGTGTCGTGACCAATATAAAGGAAGATATTACGGTTGGAGGAGGGGAGAGAACCTTGGATACGGCAATCCATCCGCACATGGAAGAAAATGCATTGGCTATCTCTGAAAGAAAAGAGAGATCCCCCTGTCAGACCATGACGACTGATATGGGAGAGAGGAAACCGCAGAGCACGATCGGAGACGGATCTCCGAATGGCATTGGAGAAGGAGAACGAACTCAGGGGACTGAATTGCTTTCCCCCCTGCTTGCGCACCCCAGAGAACTCCGGAGGACCCGCACAGCCGTCAACGACGCAAGAGAGAGGAGACAAGCTGAGGAAGGACACTGTGAGGATCAAATGGATCGTGATTCCATCATTACTCTCCCCCCCGGACCGTTTACCCGTAGTAGGAGACGCGCAGGACGGCTGGGCGCAGTGACGACCGGGGAGCCGCCGCCCCCTTCCATCTACGATCGAGCAGCTTATCCTCCAGTTCCGGACCATCGACGAGCTGCACCCACTTGGGAGAGGTCTGTGAGATCATCTGAATGGCGTTTGCCCCAGGGGGAAGAGCGAAGACATGGTTCCGCTGCTACCCCCTCCGGACTGCCTGATTATGGTGCGGCACGCATGAAATGGCCGGATGCAGGGGTGATTGAAGAATCGCCGCCCCCCCTCCCTCTCCGTGACTGAACGGCTTTCCCCCCAGCCCCAGACCATTAGTGGATTACAACCACCTCGAAAGGACCTACAGGATCACCCAGATGACATCCATATAAGAAATAAAAACACCAAAACTAAAAGAAAAACTTGCCATAGGAAGAATGAAACGAAGGAGGATTGCAAAATAAACATGAAATGTGTATTGCCACCTACCCCCGAGGGAGAAGGGTTAAAACATAGAGACCATTGTAATTACAGAGACATTTGCCCATCCACCCCAAGATTGAGGGAAAGAAGGGTGGAGGAGGATGAACGTGCAGTTGAAATGAATAAAAAGGAACAGACCAATCGTGCGCAGTCACCCTATTTAGGCCCGATGACGAGGTCGAGGAGCCGTGCGCAGACTTTACTACTCCTATAAAAGTGACTCCCTCACTCCCTGGCGCACTAGCCCTGAGGATGCCGGCAGGTGACGGCGAAAGCTAGGCGCTTTTTTAATAAATTTTATAGTTTTATTACCCTGGTGATCATTTTATTTCTCACTATATATATATATATATATATATATATATATATATATATATATATATATATATATATATATATATATATATATATATGTAGGTCTTTGGTTTCGGGTTTTCTCCCATGTAAAATTGGAAGTGTCTTGGCGACGTTTCGACAAAGTCCCATTCGTCATCTTCAGGCTGGTGTTTTCAGCTTCGTGCTTTGAGCAGCACTGTGTGGTCTTAGCTGTTTCTTCCTTTTAACTGCCAGTGGGGGTATGAACTGATTGGGTGGGAGCTTGGCTGTGTTCTGATTGGGTGGAGGTGTGTTCTGATTGGTTAGGGGCGTGGCTGTGCTCTGATTGGCTGGGGTTTGGCTGTGCTCTGATTGGCTGGGGGGTTGGCTGTGCTCTGATTGGCTGGGGGAGTGTTCTGTTTGGTTGTGCTCAGGTTAGTCTGAGTTGCAGAGGGGGTTTAAGATTTTGGGCTACCTTGCTATTTTTTGGCTTCGCGTTCGTGGTCGTGCCTCATTTTCATGGAGGGTGTCAGTTTGCTTCATGTATGGATTGGAGGGGTTTAAAGTGGCTAATGATGCAGCTGTGGTCTGGCTTCTGGTTTGTGGTCGTGCCTCGTCATCGGTGTGGCTTTGGGTTTGTTTTTTGCGTGGATGTGTGGTGGTGACATCCTGTGTGGTTTTTGTGAGTGTGGGTCTGGTATCATTTTTTGTGTTAGGGAGTCGTTTGTCAATAAGGGCGGGTTTCCAAATGGCTGGTAGGCGGGAGGTATCATCTCGCTTGTTCATGCTGTGTGGGCGTTTTTCTATCTCGATGGCTTCTCTGATTATTCTGTTATTAAAATGTTCACTTTTGGCAATGGTTCTGGTATTTTTAAAGTCAATTTCATGTCCTGTGGCTTTAAGGTGTTGGACCAGGGAAGATGTTGGTTCCTCTTTTTTGACTGAGTTCTTATGTTCTTCAATGCGTGCACTTATTCTTCTGTTGGTTTGTCCGATGTATGTGGTGGGACAAGTGGTGCATGGGATTTCGTATACTCCTTGATTTTCTAATTCAATTTTATCTTCAGCTTCGTGCTTCGAGGAGCAATGTGTGGTCTTAGCTGTTTCTTCCTTTTAAAAGCACGAAGCACAAAACACCAGCCTGAAGATGACGAATGGGACTTCGTCGAAATGTCGCCAAGACACTTCCAATTTTACGCGGGAGAAAACCCGAATAACCAAAGACCTACATACAAACACCCGCAAAAACCTCAGAAAACATATATATATATATATGTGTGTGTGTGTGTGTGTGTGTGTGTGTGTGTGTATATGGATATTATGATAAAAATTGTAATATTGCAACAGATAATGTATCCTAGTGTATGCATACAATATAAAGTATCCTACAATGTAATAACGTGACATTGTCATCTAAATAAATCGTAATATTGTAAGTCAACTCGAGGGATGGAGGCTGGAAAGGATGACCGTGAAATAATAACATCGGAGGAGGAAATAAAAGCCAAGGAGCATTTTAGTGATCCATTTTAGCATAAAACGACCTCCCCCCTTTGAAGATGGACCCCGATCCCTTAAAACGCCCCACTCGCATTCAAATCCTTCTTTTCCCCTTTCTGAAATTTTATGAATGAGAACCCCTGCTCGGGCAATCCGAAAGGAGCCAATCAGAACAGCGCTGGGCGCGGGAGCGCGCTTTTTCCCGCCTTCTCCTCCTCCCCCCTCCCTTTCCCTCCCGCGAGAGGCATGCCGGGCTTGAGAGTTCCGGCGGGCCGCCTCGCCGGCTGCTTCTAATGAGCCTGCGAACTACGGCCAATGAGAGAGCGCGCAGCCCAAACAAGGGCGGAGCCGGAGAGCTCTCGCAGCTTTCGCAAGAGGTGGCGGCGGCTGAGCGAGAGGAGGAGGAGGAGGGAGGCGTCGCTTCATCGCGCGCAGGCGCAGTGCGCCGCTCGCCTCTCGTTTTCCAGCCCGGCCGGAGCGTGTTGCAGGTGAGAAGCTGCGCGCGCAGCTGCGCCCGGCGCGCAGGGCCATCCTCCGCCCGCCTGGTTGCGCAGCGCTTCTGCAGGGGGTTGCAAGAAGCCGTAAAGTGGGGTTTGCAAAGTGGGCGAGACTGGGAAGTGCCGGGGGTGGTGGTGGTCTTTGTAGGGGGGGGATGCATCGAAGCTGGAAGCCTCGCCCAGCCTTTTGCAAGCGGGCGCCCGCCGGGATCCAGGATTGCAACTTGCATTGCGCGGGGAGGGGAGGATGGGAGTTGGAGGCAACGCCTTGGAGGGGAATCCACCTTTGCGGATATTTGTGTGTGTGTGTGTGTGTTTGTGTGTGTGTTTGGGGGGGGGAAGGCTTTGTGGCGTAACAATGTTGCAATGCATGCGTTGAGGATGCTGGAACCAACTTGCGCTTGTCACTCATCCTTGGGAGGATCGCTGGGTTTGTGTGTGTGTGTGTGTGTGACACATGTAACCCCCCCTCCCTCGATTTTGGCTTATTTGTGACCTCTGTGGGCCTCCTTGCCTTGTCTTCTTTTCCAAAGAGTGGCTGACATCTCTTAATGTTATGGAAGGAGGGCCTCTGCCCATGTGCAGAGTGCCCTTCCTCCTAGGATAAGAGCGCTTGGACTGGTAGTTCTCGATTTACAAGCCTTCGTTTTGGTCACCATTCGGCACTGGGGGGAAAAAAGGGACTTTGTGACTGTTTCCCCCACTTAACGACCGTTGCAGCCATCCCCTTGGTCGCCTGGTTGGGATTCGGCCTCTTGGCAACTGACTCGTACTTGTGACGGTTGCAGTGTCCCGAGGTGATGTGATTCCCCTTTGGCGGCCTAATGACAAGCGAAATCAAGGGGAAAAGAAGTCAGATTCACTTCACAACCCGCTTACTAACTTCACAACTGTAGTGATTCCCTTAACGATTGTGGCAAGGTCGTAAAACGGGGCAAAGCTCACTTCACAGCCGTCTCACTTAGCAACAGAAATTTGGGGCTCGGTTGTGGTCATAAGTTAAGGACTACATCATCATTATTGTTGTTGTTGTTGTTCGTTTGCACACTCAGCCAGATGTTCATACTGGATCTGGCAGTTTGGTCCACCTATCAAGCCTTTCCGAAACATCTGGGATGGGCAGATGTTGACACTGGAGTGGAGTGGAATGGAATAATAGAAATAGGGAATAGAATTAGAATTGGAATAGAATAGAAAAGAATAGAAATAGGGAATTAGAATAGAATAGAATAATCAAATTGAAGAATAGAATAGAATAGAATGCAGAATAGAATAGAATGCAGAATAGAATGAATAGAATAAGGAATAGAATAAAGAAATAGAATAAGGAATAGAATAAGGAATACAATAGAATAGAAATATGGAATAGAATAGAATAGAAAAATAGAATAGAATAGAGTTGGAAGGGACCTTGGAGGTCATCTAGTCCAACCCCCCCTGCCCCACCAGGAGACCCTACACCATGGCAGTCCAGTCACTTCTTGGAAGCCTCCAGTGACGAAGCTTCTGAAGGCAACTTCTGTTCCACTGGTTGATTGTTCTCACTGTCAGAAAATTTCTCCTTATTTCCAGATTAAATCTCTCTTTGATCCGTTTCCATCCATGGTTCCTTGTCCCGCCCTCAGGGTGCTTTGGAAAATAGGTTGTCCCCCCTCCTCTGTGGCAGCCCCTCAAATACTGCTATCCTGTCTCCCCTGGTCCTTCTCTTCCTTCAACTAGACCTACCCAATCCCAGCAACCGTTCTTTAGAGTGTTTTAGCCTCCAGTCCCCTAATCATCTCTGTGGCTCTTCTCTGCACTCTTTCTAGAGTCTCAACATCTTTGTTATAGTGTAGAGTCCAAAACTGGTCACAGTATTCTAGGTGTGGCCTTACTAAGGCTTTATAGAGTGGTGTTAGCATCTCAACGCAATCTTGATTGAATCCCTCTCAGTGCAATTTAGGATTGTGGTGGCTTTTTTTTGGCACCCTGTTGGCTCATGTTTAATTGACTGCCCATTAAGATTCCCAAGATTTGATGGCAGTGATCTCCCAACCTGGACCCACGGGGTGGGGGGGTGCGGGGAAGAGGGGATGGCTTCATAGGTAAGCGCACACTGCTTTCACAAATGCACTGAATAATATAATAAAAATAATAAAATATATATTTTTAAAAAGATGGATGCAAACAGCATTACAGAGGGAAGGAAAAGATGGCCAGGATTAGAGTGGAATGGAAGAACAGAGTTGGAAGGGACCTTGGAGGTCATCTAGTCCAACCCCCTGCTCAGGCAGGAGAGCCTATACCATTTCGGACAAATGGCTGTCCAGTCTCTTCTTCAAAACTTCCAGTGTTGGAGCATTCACAGCTTCTGTCCACTGGTTAATTGTCCTCACTGTCAGGAAGTTTCTCCTTAGTTCTAGGTTGCTTCTCTCCTTGGTTAGTTTCCATCCATTGTTTCTTGTCCTGCCTTCAGGGGCTTTGGAGAACACAACAACAACAATAATAATAGAATTGGAAGGGACCCTGGAGGTCATCTAGTCCAACCCCCTGCTCAGGCTGGAAACCCTATACCATTTCAGACAAATGGCTATCCAGTCTCTTCTTAAAAACGTCCAGTGTTGGAGCATTCACAGTTTCTGGAGGTGGGTTGTTCCACTGGTTAATTGTTCTGTCAGGAAATTTCTCCTTAGTTCTAGGTTGCTTCTCTCCTTGATTAGTTTCCACCCGTTGCTTCTTGTCCTGCCTTCAGGCGCTTTGGAGTAAAGCTTGACTTCCTTTTCTTTGGGGCACCCCTGAGATACTGGAAGACTGCTATCATGTCCTCCCTCGTGTCACTTCATGCATGTGCACACATAGGCTCACACACCACTTCCGTGGCCCTATTCCGAACAGGCTGGTGGGTTGTAGATCTGTGTTTTAAGTGGTTTAGAGCTATTGTCATAGGATTCTGCTGTTTCCAATAAATTATGAGTATTTTTATTGTTATCATTCTCATCTGGGGTCTATCTTGGGAAGAGGGCCTCATCATGCTGTTGGCACAGTTGCACTTGGAGTAATTTTACACGGCTCACGTGGGGCTGATTTCAAAGGTTCCTCCTATTTTTATACTAACAAACATCCATGTCTGATTTCCAAGAAGCCGCAGAGTTTCCACCACATACAAAAAGTTACACTCGACATGAGTGCAAGACAATCCTCGCTTTATGATGGTTCATTTAGTGACCGTTCAAAGTTACAACGGTCCTGAAAAAAGTGTCTTAGGACCTTTTTTTTACAATTACGACCTTTGCAGTGTCCCCAGGAGTCACGTGGTCAAAATCCAGAGGCTTGGCTCATACTTATGACTTGCAGCGTCCTGGGGGGGGGTGTCACGTGATCCCATTTTAACGACCTTCTGACAAGCATGTTCACTTAACAACCGTGTTGCTAACTTAACTGCAGTGACTGTGGCAAGAAAGGTCGTAGAATAGGGCAAAACTCTCTTTGCAAGTGTCTCACTTAGCGACAGAAATTCGAAGCTGAATTGTCAGTCGAGGACCATCTGCGTAAAAATGAAAAAGTTGTGGTTGGATGTTACTACCTTTATAGGAATGGAATTGGAATTGGAATTGGAATTGGAATGGAATGGAATAGAATAGAATAGAATAGAAAATATGGAATGGAATGGAATAGAATAGAAAATATGGAATAAAATATGGAATAGAATTGGAATGGAATGGAATGGAATAGAATAGAATAGAATAGAATAATAGAGGAGAGGAGTAGAATAGAATAAGAATAGGATAGGATAGGAAAGGATAGAGAAAATGAATAGAATAGAATAAGGAGTAGAATAGAATAGAGATAATAGAATAAAATAGAGAAAATGAATAGAATGGAGAAAATAGAATAGAATAGAAAAGGGAATAAAAAAAGGAATAGAAGAGAATGAGAAGAGAATAAAATAGAAAATAGAATAGAATAGAATGCAGAATAATAAAATAGAATAGACAAAATGAATAGAATAGAAAAAGGAAGAGAAAAAGGAAGAGAAGAGAATATAATAGAGAAAATGAATAGAAAAAGGAAGAGAAAAAGGAAGAGAATGAGAAGAGAATTAAGAAAATAGAAGAGAGAATAGAATAGAGAAAATTAATAGACTAGAATAAAAATAGAATAGAATAGAAAAAGGAATAGAATAGAATAGAATAGAGTAGAATAGAAAAGAAATAGAATAGAAATAGAAATAGAATAGAATAGAATAGAATAGAATAGAGCTAGAAGGGACCTTAGAGATCTTCTAGTCCAGCCCCATGCTCGAGCAGATGAATGTGTCGGAAGTCAAGGCTTTTCTTATTTCTTTTCCCCTTTACCCAACATTTCTTTCTCTTCCCCTTTTCCTCTCTTTATTTTCCCGTTATCTATCAATCGCAGCGATGCGCTTAAGCAACCCGGGGCAAGAAAGATCGTAAAATGGGGCTAAACTCAGTTAACAAAACGTCTCGCTTAAAAACAGAAAATTTGGGCACCGTTGGGGCCGTAAGCTGAGGACTATGGGTATTGACAGGGCTCGGACGCACCCGTGAGCTTAAATCTCAGCCTGTTGGAAGGTGGCCAGCTTTGCTTTTTGGATGGAGCTGTGGAACAAGATTGGTGATGGATGCTTAATTAACTCTAAGGAAATCTTAACAGGTAAAAAATGTTTTTGAACATTGTGGGGAAAATAAACCCAAAGGAGAACTTTAAAAACAGGGTCTATGATAAGTTGATTAAGATGATTAGTTAGAGAAGAAGCTTCACATTGATGCGGTTGTTACTTGTAGAAAACTAGAAAACTGTTTACATTTAATTGTTCCCTATCAAAACATTTAAGAATTGCGCTAATTTAAGGTGGATAAATGAGACTATTATTGGAAGAAGGGAAAAATCAAGGAAAGCTACTTGTGTGGATTATGGGATTATAGGAACTAATTGTTATTGACGGCTTGCAAATATAAACCCAGACGACACGCTGTTTACCAAATGTCAAG